CAAGAACTCAGAAGGATGGAGAAGAATATTCTACATGTTTAACACCAAGGCCCACCCACTGTGGGCCCACTGGTCTAGCCTCTTATGCACAACGCTTCCCTGGCGTGTAAGGGGACCTTACTATCACCACACAGCATCTGTACTTACTGCCTCGTCAGCCTGTTGTAGAGAAAGTTGGACGGTTTCACATCTCGGTGGATCACATTGAACTGATGAACTCTCCTTAAAGCAATCAGGAGATTCCTCATGTACTCTCTGGATTCATCAATGTCCATCTGATGAAGGAATTCCTGCCAGAAAAAATAAAACATCCGATGAAGGAATTCCTGCCAGAAATAAAACATCTGATGAAGGAATTCCTGCCAGAAATAAAACATCCAATGAAGGAATTCCTGCCAGAAATAAAACATCTGATGAAGGAATTCCTGCCAGAAAAAAAAAACATCCAATGAAGGAATTCCTGCCAGAAATAAAACATCCGATGAAGGAATTCCTGCCAGAAATAAAACATCCGATGAAGGAATTCCTTACAGAAATAAAACATCCGATGAAGGAATTCCTGCCAGAAATAAAACATATGATGAAGGAATTCCTGAGGGAAATAAAACATATGATAAAGGAATTTTTGCCAGAAAAAAAAAAAAAAATGTCCTTGACTGATCCTGACTGGTTGCTTGTGCTAAAGCTAGATTAAAGGTCACACAACACCCATAACCAGGAAAACATTAGAATTCAACGGCCACTAAGCCTTGGTTAAGTGCACAATAATAATACTAATGTGCTATACAGTAAATAAATAGATTAATCTGTTCAAATTATATGAGATGTAAAAACAAATACTTAAGAACAGAATTTCTGACCAAGGTTAAGGAGGCAGCTTGTCACTCAATTTGATGAGGTCAACATTATGCCGGCTGTCTTTACTTCCCAACTTTACCTGGCACCGATTCTATGAGCAGGGCCGACATGGGAAACCAAGGTCATTTTGTGAGAAACAAAATATGGCACGGTGTGAATTTGAACTCAAGACCCCCCAGGAAAACATCTAACCCAGTGTTTCTCAACCTGTGTATACCCACAGCCCACCAGTGAGTGGGTACCAGGTGCAGTCCTGAGAAGTAAATGCGGCCGGCGTGAAGCTGAACTCATCACCTACCCACTGCCGATTGGTCTATAAAAATACAGGTCTAACCCTATATACCCAATACACATGAAGGCACGGAAAAGGGTCCCTTACTTTCCTTTACTTATTGTACCTGAAATTATGTACAAACTATCGAACTATTGCCCTGATCAGTCATGCAAGTAAAATTCTACTAAAAATTATAATGAGAAGACTGCATAAAAAAATGGAAGAAGAGATTAATGTAGCTCAGGCTGGATTTAGACAGGGAAGAGGAACAAGAGATCATATTTTCAACATGCGTTTAATAATAGAGAAGTGTAGAGAATTTAATGTAAATCTGTTTCTTATGTTTTGTGGATTATTCAAAAGCATTGACTGTGTACAACATCAGAAGCTTTGGGAAATCATGAGGAATATGGGGCTTTTTCCATCACATATAGTGCAGCTCATTAAAATGCTCTATCAAGACCAACAAGCAGCAGTCAGAATAGATGGAGAGACATCAGACTGGTTTGGCATCAAGCAAGGAGTCCGTCAGGGATGTGTGCTGTCACCGTATTTTTTCAACCTGTACGCCGAAAATATAATGAGAAATGTAAGAGATGATATAAACAAGGAACAATTTGATGCCCTAAACATCGGTGGTCATGAAATACCAGAAATTCGTTATGCTGATGATACAGTATTACTATCAACATCACCAAATGGTTTAGAAAACTTGTTAACCTCACTCCAAAGAAATAGTAAAAATCATAACTTATTTCTTAACATAGCAAAAACAAAGATAATGCATACAAACAAAACTGCCATGGAGAAGGAAATATATGTTAATGAGGAAAGATTGGGAAGTGGTGGAAAATTTAGAATATCTTGGGTCACTGGTTACCAACAATGGTGACACAATGAAAGAAATTAAACGGCGACTATCAATTGCTCTTCAAAGACTAAAACAACTGAATAAATTATGGAATTTGTACAGATAGAACTACAAAGGTCAGAGTTTTTTTTTTAAGAGCATGCATCTTTCCCATTGCAACATACGCCTGTGAGACCTGGACACTTACTAAACAAGCGGAACAGCGCATAAATGCATTTGAATATAAATGTTTACAGACAGGTTCTAAGAATATCTTGGGTAAAGAAAAGAAACAAATGCATCCATACTTCAAGAGCTGAATATTGAAGAGGGTTGGCTAGTAAAGACAATAAAACAAAGAAAATTGAAATATTTTGGTCACTTGAAACGTCATGGAAGTCTAGAGAGAACAATAATGGAGGGGTATATGCCTGGGAAGAGAGGAAGAGGAAGGCCAAGGAGAAGATGGGTGCAGGATGTGGCAGATGATCTCCAGATGGGTGTATCAGACGCAGGACATCTTGCTCAGGATAGGAAGGTTTTCCGGAGGGTTGTTATGGCAGCGAGGTCCCGCGAGGGACATGCTACTGAATGAATTGTACCTGCATCCCGAAAAATCATGCTAAGGCTTTCTTCGAGGTAGGTCTTATTTTCGGGGCAAAAACATTACTCACCTAAGGATTATACTCGGGACCTCTAAGTTGGCGTTCTCTGTAACTAATATGCTACCGCAAATCTGGACCCACCTGAAATTTTTCATGAGGAAAAATTGGCATCACAATGACAACATGGTCTCGACACCTTAAGCACAACTTCAGTCCCATCACATTGTCCTGTCCCCTGAAATAAAACAAGAAGGCTTTAAGTATAATGCTCATGCACGTTGTGTAAACTCACTCATCAAATACTGCACAGCAATAGATGCTTTAAAGGAACTCTCTCTCTTTCTCTCTTCTATAAAGAAAAAGAAAAACACAACCACTTTCAACCTGCTGTTGGCAGCTGAAGTTACCAACAGGCTCTGGTTATATTTGTGGTCTGGATTTTTGCGCCACTTTCATGGCTAAGTTTATGGTATCTGCGTCAGTTCTCTGCTCCTTCCTTTTCTGAATGCAGTGTGTCTCCTGTTCTTATCTTCCTGATGTTTTCTTCGTGGTTCATCCTTCGTTCTAGTCTGGCCAGGTTTATCTCGCAGGGAACCAAGTTAGCTCTTCATAATGGCCTTTTGGAACACCATTTATAGTTTTAAAATTTTTATTTTTTAATTTTTTTATTTGCCAAAAGTACTGAAAACAGTTTTTGAGTTTGAATAGATCCGAAATAGGGAAAATATTCGGGTGTCGACCATAGCGGTCTTATAGTTGTCTTCCTGTACTAAGAGCATGCTTTAAGGGCACTATAATTATCAACAGTTATAAGACAGAGAAGATGGCACTATATTGGGACACATTCCGAAAAGAGACAAACAGTGAATCTCCAAGCAGGCACTGGAATGGGAAAGAGGGGGAATTCAGAAAATGAGGTCCCAGAGAAACCCTAAGGTGAACGGTGATGAGAGAAACCAAAGGTGCTGGACTTGATTCCATCCATGATAACGTATAGGATAGAATGGAACTGAGAAACAGACGGTGAGCCCTATGTGACATAGGCACAAAAGGACAATGAATGAATGAATAGCTGCTTCAAAGAAGTCTGGAAAGAACAGTGCACTTCTTGATCTCTTCCTCCAGTTACCTCGGTATAGTGGGAGATGAATGTACAGACTTTATGCTCTTTCGAATTCACTGTATAAGTTGGGTTTCATTTTTACAGGTTATTGTTAACAGTTAAAGTAAAGTAAAGGACCCTTTTCCACACCTTCAGGCATAATGGGCACATAGGGCTAGACCTATATTTTATAGACCAATAGGCATTGGGTGTGTCATGTGTGTCAGCATCACGCCGGCCCCTTTTACTTCCCAGAACTGCACGTGGTACCCACTCAAGGCTGGGTCAACCTGAGAGCCATGGTCATTTTTGAAAAAAGTCCAGCTCCATTGTTGTTAATGCTGTATGCTTAATGAATAGACCTTAATAATGTATGCGTAATGACCAAGGCCTTGATAGCAGATACAGCCATAACATTTAATTTTCCGGGACTAATTGTTTATTCACCAGTTTTCAAGTGGAATAGTAAGGGACATTTCATTTGATTTTCACTGGCACAGGAACGGAGCAAGTATAGGGAAACCAGATATCAGTGAAGTTGAAACCTCGACAAAGACTAAGCAAATGACATGGTTTGCCAATTTAAAAAGAACACCTTATGATACCATACCATACCATACAAGGCGTATAATTAAAAGATCATGAGGGAGACCAAGAACAAGATGGAAAGATAAAACCAGAGAATTCCTGTGTGGGTTCCTGGGCCCCACTGTGGGGTAAAACAAGAAGAGACCCATTGCCTCCCCAGCAAGAATGTCGCAGGAGTCGACCTATTGGAGCATCCTTCAAAAGCGGAGGACATCGCCTGCGAAGCGAGGAACCAACAGTCTGCATACAAATAAGCCAGATCTGTGAAACAAATGTCAATGCAACACTCAGGTTCAGGAACAAGACTAAACTCCAGAGGTGGGCGAACACACAGAACTTTCAGCCGTAGTTAACAGCCAGTGAAAGCGAAGAAATAGAAATCTGAGAAACTCTACAACAGCATATTCACGTCCACGCCATGTGCCACGGACAAGTGTTCATCTGTGTGACCTGAACTGAGTTGGCAGGGATCTTGGAGTTGGTGGCCTCTAGAGATGTAGTGCCCAGCCAAGCTAACATCAGCCCACCCCCAACGCCTCGATAAAAACGTTCAAAGCCCATTTGGAACACGGGTAAAGTCCACTAGCTGAAAACTCTACTAAATGACAACCCCCAGTTAAAATGTTTATTGAGTGGGAAGAACTACTGTACTGGTGAGTTTCAGCTCAAAAACAGGAGATTTGCTTGCAGCCCAGACGAGCAATACAGTTGTGAAACAGTGACTCACCCAATGTTGAGCAAACACTTGAGCTCATTCTCTATGCGGGACGGGTGTGTGGTGGGGATGATGTGTTTCAAGGCAAACAGTTCTGTTATTTCAGGGTAGTGCTTCAGTCTTGCCAGGTAAACAGAACTGAATGAACCTGTTGGATTAACAACAATTAGTTACATGACAATTTGGCTATTTGTTTTTTTTCTTCAACATGAGCAATCTGGTTGAGCAGTTACAACTCTAAGCTCTCATGCAGGAGACGTGGGTTTGATTCTCAGTAAGATGATAAATGGTTTTTTTTTCTGTCGTGGAGAAAAATAAATGTCCAAACGTATACAGCTCATGGCAAGTGAACCAGCAACACAACCCTAAATTTTCAGGGTTAAGAGACCTGACTGTCCTACCCTGCCTTACAAACTGGTAACTATTCATTAGTTGTTAGGCAAGGTTTGAACATCACTGGAGACTGCGCCGTTCCTGTACCAGTAAATATCACATAAAATGTCCTCCACTGTCTCATTTTAAAACTAGTGGTAAAACTTGTCAGTTCCAACAAAATCTTGAAGCTTATACTTGCAAAGTAAAATTCACAAGGCAGCTGTGAGAGCTGCCAAAACTAACAGTCCTACACCAGAACTGCAGCTCACTGTTGGTGTTAACGGTCACTGTAATCAGCCACCTGTCATTTCAGTGAAGTTAACAACATGTGGCGGGTACAACAACAAAATTCCTTCATGAATTCCACAGCTCAGTGTCACACCAAGCCCTCAACTAACTCAGCAACTGGGTGATGGAACCTCTGGATTCCTGATCCAGGAATAGAAGTGTTTTCATCTGCAAAACCTGGCTGGAAACAAATAACTTTTCAGAGCCTCATAAGCCATTTGGCAATCGGCAACTTCAGGCAGTTGAAAAAAATATTTAAAAAAAATTAAAAAAAAAAAACTGCACCCAAGAGTTGCAAGGACCCACAAGGAAAGTAAAGAAACATAACACTGTAACCTATCACACTTATCATAAAAGGCGGCTAAGGACTGAAGAACCCACAGTGCTGGAGTGGCCAGAAGCTTGCCTATCGGCTCAAAGGTCTAGGGTTTAAACCCATAGTGTATTCCAAAATGACCTTGGCTGGTTGGTATGGGTACCAGGTAAAGCACTGGGAAGTAACAGCAGCTGGCATGACGTTGACAACATCAGCCATCAAGGACCATTTGCTCTACAACAATATGTCTAGCATCACAAGCCCACTGCACCACTGACACGAAATGGGTCCTTGACTTCAAAAAAGGCCTTGTATTAAAACCTTGACTATCTCTAATTTCTCAGCTCAGTTGAGTGCTTTCCTCTGTTTATTTAATGCTTTCTACATGTAGCAGATAAGATTCCAGGTTTGGCTGGTTGGCATTCCCACGGAAACAAAGCTGTAAGTAACAGTGGAAGGTCACACCACAGACTTCACAGGGGACTGTGGCCTTTTCATTTAAAAACCAAAGGCAGGACTAACGAGAAGAAGAAGAAGATCTGTTTATTTATTATCGCCACAGCAATGAAGCACATGCAATGAGCTTGACACCTTTTTCGTCAGCACAATTAACATGGTAACTCTTTGTTGGCTACTGAAGAAGGAGACAGAGCCTGTGTGGGAATGCCCCGAGTGCACTAATGTTAATTATGATACATTCATTCATCTGTTTCTTGAAGGACCGCTTCATTTTTATGTGAATCTGTGGAATTCCTTGCCTTTTCCACAGAAACAATATTTGCTCTGCCAATAAATGTTTCTCAGCTTACCTACTTATAAAAAAGGGTTAACCGACACACACAAAGAGTTAACTCTGATGTACCCACAGACAACCTACCTTCTCCAATTTTGTTTGTGATGGTAAAGTGATTGGCCACCTCAGGCACAGAAGAATACAAAGCTTGGATCTCATCGTCAAAATTATCTAATGAGAAGTCCAAAAATGGAATGTTATATTTAATTCAAATATTAATGATGAAGTAATCATACCACCATCTGTCTGGGGTTACAGATGTCCAATAGAAAAGGATTAGAGGGAAATCCTAAAAAAAAACAAATTAAAAAAAAAAAAAGGAATAACTGCAGATAAGGCAATATCAAGAAATCAATCCATCAATTAATATCAAGAAATTAATCCATCAAATAATATCAAGAAATTAATCCATCAAATAATATCAAGAAAATAATTCATTAACTAATATCAAGAAATTAATCCATTAAATAATATCAAGAAATTAATCCCCGAACTGTGACTTACAAACTTAAGGTTAAGCTTATTAGTTAAGGAATCAATCAATCAATCAGGTGCCGTCTCCACAGTAAAGGTTGACTGCAATGGATCGCCAGCATGCACTGTCTCTTGTCCTGGTTGTACACTCTCTCAGACTGCTATCCACCCATCTCTTGATGTTGTCCTCCCACTTGTATCGTTGCTATCTTGCCTTCAACCTTTTCCTCCAGTATGGTTTTTAAAAGTGTTGTCTTTTAATGTGGCCAAAGTATTTCAGTTGTCTCTATTCTACTTATTTCAGTAATTCTCTTTTCATTTGTAGCCTTTCCAGAACCTTTGTATGGGAATGTTTTTGTTTCCATGAAATACGACCTATTCTTCTGTATGCCCACATCTCTGGAGACTCAGTTCAATTTTCCAGTTGCTTGTTCACTGTGCAAGCTTCATAGAATTCAATGTATTAATTTTTTTTAACTAAGGAAACCATGGTGGCCTGGCAGCTAGATGCTTTCCTTCTGGCCTAAAGGCCTTAAGTTTAATCTGCGCTCGGTAGACTGTTAAAAATAATCTAGGGCTCCCAGGTTCTGCCTGCCTAAAGTGAGTAGCCTGGTAAAGGACCCTTTTCCACGTCTTCAGGTTTACTGGGCAAACAGGGCTAGACCTAAATTTTATAGACCACTCGGCACTCAGCGGGCGATGTGGTCAGCATCATGCCAGCCGCCTTTACCTCCGAGGACTTTACCTGATAGCCATTTAATGCTGGGTCAACCTGGGAGCCAAGGTCCTTTTGAAAAATAGTCCAGCTCCGCCAAGACCTGAACCTATGACCTCAGGATCCGCAAGCATGCATCTAGCCTCTACACCACAGCGGCCCCTGGGTAGCCTGGTACATATATTTTGTAGGTCCCTGGAAATGTATTCCAGTTAACGCTGCGCCCTGTTCTAATACTGAAGCTTATGGGAAAATATGACATCAACTTGGCTTTAACAAAATATTTGGCTCATAGGAAAACACCCTAAATGATTTTTTTTACCTAAGGTGTTCAAAGCCTGATCCCATAAATGTTTAGCAGGCGTGATAACTGCCAATAACATTCACTATACACATCGTAAACAGGTTTCTATAGATAAGTCCGAAAAGTGACATTTATGGGGAATTCGACCCAACAGGAAGTGTTGGTTTTACAAATTTTCTGGGAGAGCGGTTAGAACATTGTGTGTGGTTTACAGCTTGGCTGCAATATCTGCGTCTTTTAGTCCAACACATCTAATTTTAGCAAACTCCTAATTAGTCAACTGCTCAAAAGAAGTCAGAAGACTTACATTAGCGATGCAGAGATTAAACAGCATGAAGAACCTATGTCAAAGCACTAGTAAATTAGTTGAAGTAAAAATCTTGAGATCATGCATTTTTCCTGTGGAAACTTATGGTTGCGAGTCCTGGACTCTCATTCAATCACTGATGAAAAAGATTGGAGCTTTTGAATTAGAATGTTACCAAAAAATTATCAGAATAACATGGATAAAGAAGAGGAAAAAATCATCAACATTCTACACAAGTTAAACACCCAGGAGAACTGGCCCATAAACAGCATCCTGTCTTTAAAGTTGAAATATTTTAGCCACATAAAATGTCATGGTGGCTTGGAAAAGACGGTGTTGGTGGGTGCAGTTTAGGGAAGGTGGGGCAGGGGTTGACCTCTGCGAAGTTGGATACAGGACATTGAAGATGCATTGAACATAAAAAGCACATGGGGTTGGAGAGCTGGCTAGAGAAAAGGATACTTTCAGGCATGCCATGAAGAGAGCGATATTCTGTAAAGGACTTGCTGATTGATGATGGCTATAAGTCAACACCAAACTGGCACAGTTAATCAGTTTATGCTGATGCAATAAGATACTAATATAAACTGAACATCAAAATAAGTCTTGAAGGAATGAAATTCTATAAAGGAAAATTGTTACCTACAGCCTGATGGCTGCTCGACCACAGTTATCTGTGGATGTTTCCCACGAGGATGTGTAGATTCTGCATTCTCTATTCTGTTCTGCATTCTATGGTGCGTTTATCTTCACGTTTTCACATAAGACTTGTCACAATCAATGCACCAAAGTGATACTTTGTTACTGTTGAACTACTTCCTTAATCACTTTATTTAACCAAAAGCTGTTACTCTGATGGTTTCTGAATCTGTAGAAGGACAAAGGTGAACTGCTTAATTTAGTTCCCTACTACTCGACTATTATTCTTCAACAGGTCCTTACTTCAATGTTTTCATACAAAATAACTTTGCTGACAACTTTCAATTAACAAATATGTGTTAACTTTTCTTTAAAGGAAGTTTAACGAATGGAGGCTGGAAGCCTTTCACTTTCATTATTGCTTTATTAATTACTTCAATTTATTTTGCACAGCATAAAAACACACTCCACCCCCTTCCCTAAAAAAAAAAAGGTTCATGCAATACTTCGTTTAAAATCTGATCATCCTTATAACGTTCCTTTAACCAACCCTTTGGGATTGACTGGGCTGTCTGTCAGCCCAACAACAAAATGAAAAAAAAAAGAGGCTGGGCCGTCAGTAATACAAGCCTTGAGATTTGCTGGCCTGTCTTCATACCAGCCAAACTGATTGCTTCTCGCAGTTCTTGCACATATGGGCTGTTTAATGGCGACTTTTGTGTGAAAGTCTTTTTTGTGTCCTGTAATTTTACATCTTTTTTTTTTCAACAGGAGGCAGGAAAAAGAGTAGAACCATGTGCCACAGGTGTCTAAAGGGCCTTAGTTCCCAAAAGACAAGCGCTAGGACTTATACAGGCTTCATTCATCAGAAAAGTTCTCCAGATTATTATATTTAGTCTTGTTTATTCAAGAGAGAAAAAAAAATGCATCCTCAAATATGCAAATCAGCATAATTTAAATAAATTTTGAGATGTCACTGAATGTCAGAGTGATTTATAATGATTGTGCTAGTTCAGTGAATTTCCTACAAGAAGATACAGTTTTATGTATGTTAATTGAAAGATTTCTTTTGTTAAAATAATTTTATGCGTGCAAATTAGGAGAATTTCCCCCCCCCCTCCCCCCTCCCCCGAAGGCTCTATCTTCTTGGCATTGAAACTCCAAAAAAGGCTTCATCTATAAAGGTGTTTTTAAAAAGGACAGTCCTTAAAATAAAGACCTAAGGGGAAGCAATCTATTGTAAGTTAACATTACTATATGTGCTGAACCTGCGGGATGTAATCCATTATTTGTGTTGGTTCACAAAAATAATACTATTCTTTAATATTTAATACTGCTTGAGATCAGGGGTTAGAGTTAGGGCTAACCCTAACATAACAAAACATTAAATATTACACCCGAAAATATACCCTAACAGGGCCTCAGTCATATGTTAATTGCAAACTTCTGGCGACTATCGCCACCGCTGAGATTATCTCCCGCGCTGCTGCAACTTGCAGCGCGGAGTGGGGCTAAACTAGATGGCTGGGACTCACGAGCATATAAAATGAAGGAAGCTGCAGGAGATGCGGTAGCTGCTGCTTGTGAGTCCCAGCCATCAAGTTTAGCCTCGCTCCGCGCCGCGGGAGATGCTCTCGGCGGTGGCGGTAGTCGCCGGAAGCCGCAATTTAAGTCGGCAGAAGTCCGCAATTTACATGTGACTGAGGGCCCTATTAGTTAGAGTATATTTTCGGTCTCGAAAATTTGGGATCTTTATTCGGAGGATAGCCCAATATTATTATGCGAACGTGCACAAACAATGAATTGTTTCTCTTTAGTCATTGTAAGCAACCACTGGGTTATCCTAGGGTCACCGTTGCAAAGAGTCTGAAACAAATATACCTACTCTTTTTATCTAAAACAATAAGTGAAGCGAAAAAAAATTATCACTGTGTGGGTTCCAAGGCCCTATTGTGGGGACAAGAATCCACTGCCTCCCCAACACAAGCATGTATGTCGTAATAAGAGTCGTCTAGTTGGGATGTGCACGCAACACTCAAATTAACAAATTGACTGGATTAACTGTGTGCAAACAAAACTCAAGTTCTGAAACAAGGCGGAAGTTCAGTCGCTGACGAATAACCATAACTTTTCTGAGGTGAATAGATGACAAACAATAAAAATAAATAAATAAATAACACCTAAGCCGCAAACGACTGACAGACATCATCCGCCGCTGACTCAGGACTCGTCGAATTAACAGTAACTGTGTAACACAACACAGTGTCTAGGTCACACGACTTCTATAGTATTTGTTTCTGATTTAAATTTAAAAAAAAAAATAAAAGGCCATTTAAAAACATAAGATATGCGGTAAAAATATAAAAAGTGACTGACTGCAAATCTATAAGACAGAACAACAGGCCAAGGGATTTAGACTAGACCGACTTGGAATGTTCTGTTCTCCTTATTATTTCGTGTTTCCCTCCATCTTGGTCTCCGTAATTTAACCAAATGTACGAAAATTACCGAAGATAACAGCAAACGTCAACACGTAAGAATTAACTAATATTTACCAGTAAAATACACTTCTGTTAAATATACTTCATTGATGATATCGAGAAATTAGATATAAGATAACACTAACAAAAGTAAGAAAACAGTATCACAAAATAAAGGGGCGCCGACAAAAAAAGCCATTGTGTGGGTCAACCCTCTTAACTTACACATTTTCTGGGCGATGGGTTTTTAACTTTTTTGTCTTTCAGTTGGTGTAGAGTGACTCATTCTCTATTCTTAATAATAAGTAAAGTAAAGGACCCTCATGCGTATTGGGCATATAGGGCTAGACCTATATTTTACAGAGAAAGATATAAAACCGAACGAAGTATATATTTTACAGACCATTCGGCACTCTGAGGCTGACGTGGTCAGCATCACGCCGGGGGCCATTACTTCCCAGGAAGGTAACCGGTACCATTTTGAGGCTGGAGCCAAGATCATTTTTGAAAAAGGTCTGGCTCTGACAGAACCTGAACCCACGACCTTGCGACCCGCAGACGAGCGTTGATTAATAATAACCGCAGTTTATATATATATATATCCCCCCATCCCAGTATCCAGAAAACATGAGTTGTTAACCCTTTGGCTCAGTACTATGGATATGGCAACCCTTCGGTCTTGATTCCATCAGAAATACTGTAAATCTGGGAGAAATGTCGCTTTTCTGCCTACCCCCAGGCTTTAACCCAGACCACAAGGAGTTCGTCACCCGGTCGCCGCTCAGTCAAGTTTAACCGACTGAGCTAGCGAGCCGGGCTAGTTTTAATAATAGTAATATTGGGGGTGGAGGGGTGGGGGGGGGGGGGGTTATTTGTTGTGTTTCCTGTACAGGACGTGCAGAAAAAAACATGGCAATTTTGTGTTTGGCCGCTGCGATTTTTTCTTTGCCAATTTTATGTCCAGTAGTTATTCATTGCTTTCTGATCAGTCAGCTCTGGGTAATACTGTCAAAACCAACGCAATGCGGTCTGCTGCCAAATTACCTGCAACTGGGACCCAGCCCGGCACTAGGATGCGCTTCTACAACGCCTCACAGACTCCGATACAACAACAACAACAACAACTACTACTACTACTACTACTACTACTACTACTACTACTACTACTACTACTACTACTACTACTACTACTACTACTACTACTACTACTACTACGACAACGACTACTACTACCACTGCTACTACTACTACGACTACTACTACTACTACTACTACTACTACTACTACTACTACTACTACTACTACTACTACTACTACTACTACTACTACTACTACTACTACTACTACTACTACTGCTGCTGCTGCTGCTACTACTACTACTACTACTACTACTACTACTACTAACAATAATAATGACCTAATGTCGAATAAGTATATGTTTTACAGAATATCGTAAATATTTGTAGTTGCATGTACTCCAGTCATACAAGTATATGCAGCATCCACAGAAGCGACTACAAACAGCTGTTGGCCAAACATTTTTTCTCGCTGTGTCCAGTAGTGAGGTATAAGACTCTTCCATCCCAGTCGCTGCCTTTGAAGAGCTAGTATTTCCGTATACTCAACCGAGTATGTGTATATCAATTTACATGTGTGTCAGCAATTGACGTCGCTTATTGCAAGAAAGCCTGGCATATGATATCACAACGTCTAGTTTGATATTGGAGGTGGAGGCAGTCATTGCTGCCTTCCGCTGGCTTGAGAGTCAGCTGTACACCCGCCGTGACTGTAACTGACTCACAGAGTATGTTGAGAAAAGTAGAGATAGACATGCTCCATGCAGAGCAGCAAGCATCGCTTTAGAGGTTCCGGGTAGTTAGCATAATTTTGATATTTTCTCCAGGTATGGTGGTGTGTTGGGAAACGAGCAAGCAGGTTGACTGGCCCGTTATGCACCACTTAGTGATGAATTAATGCATGACAAACTAGATTATGTGAGGGCTCTTTGGGAGCGCTTGAAACAGTGTAGAGACACAAATAAATCATTACGGTCTGAGGAGAATGGCGCTTTGGGGAGTTACCAGGTGATCTGACCGATGAGACGATTTCTTATGAAAACAGACAATAGTGACAGTTTTAGTGTTTATAGGAGGATGAGAGGAAGATCTCAAAATGGAGAATGCATAAAGGGTAGCCACGGTGCTGTTTGCGGCTAGACGGACGCTAGGTCTAGGGTCATTGTCAGAAATGACCTTTGCTCCCAGGTCGACTCATTCTAAAATGAGCTCCAGGTTACGTCATGGGAAGTAAAGGCGGTCGGAACGATATTGACCACATCATTTAATGAGAGCAGAATGTTCTGTAAAAATATAGATTTAGAATCACAAGCATGATTTTCGAAAAAAAAAAAAAAAAATACGTAGATCATCGCTGAAGCTAGCGAGTTCGTGATTAATGCTAGCAGTTTTTTCGGAAAGAGACTTGAGTCATACAGGATAACACTTGATGCAGTGAGGCCAGTTATCACACTTTTAAACGAGTAACACAGTTACACTAACGGGACACTAAAGCTAAAATCCGAAATGTTCAATAATCTTTATTCATGGAAATCA